TTCAGACACCAGCAGTTTTGCACAGTACGTTCTTTAGTGGCCAATGCAGAATACCTGTAGCATACTTTTAGATAAGTGACACATTCATTCCGTTTTTTGTACTTCGCACATCATAATGTACATTTTCTTCTTGCTTCATGGTTTCAAACAAAGTACTATAAGGTCAATTATCAATAATCAATAACTATATTTGTTACCACGTTTGATGCCATTTCTAATCGGCTTTTATGACATGACACCAAATTTACTGTAGCTTTGAGGTAGTAAGAAGTGAGAAGCCAGAGGAAGGTGTGACCTATCATCCATTCAAATGTGTCTTTCAAAATTTATAAACGAATGATAATAAATAAAACATACGCTTACATGCTATTACACTACACAACTCATGGCACGGGAAAAACCAAGAAACCGCTAAAATGATACTGGAGCAAATAAAAAGTCGCCACTTCAAGTTTTTTTTGCTAAAAAGCTAACATAAAAATAATAAAAGTAGTCCGGCGGATATAATAGTTCAAATTGCGAATTTTTTTGCAAGATATTGATGTTCTGCCATTTTTTCAAACTCAAAAAATTCATATAATTAAAAGCTTTTGCAAAAATTGTCTCATTTGGCACTACACCTGACTTAGCTGGTGATTTCGGTTTTGTCAAGCTGGAGTGTTCGAGTTCAAAGGACCGAAAAAGCTCAACGACAGCTTCATTTTTTTTGGATAGAACTTTTTTGCAGGATTCGATAGATCACGCTGTAGTGGTCAAAATCACTGATTAGCTTGTATGATGGTTTATTGGGTTAGTTAACACGTTGTCCATTAATATCGTATCTGTTTCATAGGACAAGCCTTGCGTAGGATTACAATATATAGATGGGTATCAATGTAGGGATCAAAGTTACCAACCAGTAAAATATCAAATTTGAATAAATTTGTGTCTTCTTTGCCACGAACATTTGGTTTCGTGATCAACATGTCAGTTAAATTCCGTACACCAGTTTTCAGGCAAATTGAGGATTTTGATCTCTCGATACCTGCAGTAGAGCGCTAGGGGGAAAAGTTCTCTTAACCAGCATATCCATTTAGCCACCTAGATGTTGTAGAATTTCACTTCTCGCAATGTAAAAATAAGATGATGTTCTACTTTAACCATTCAAATTCTCAAAAAATCAGACTAATTCAATGCAACTGGAATCATTGGCTGAATAGGTGCACTCTTATTTGAAGGGCGATTTTTCTTTCGAACTATGTATAAAATGCTGCCAGCTTCAGATTACTAGGATTTTTTTTGGATTTAAAAAAAAGCACGACCCATCTGACAGCCCAATATTAGCAACAGGAAACAGCAGAAATACCGTCTTTGTCTATCATGAGGGAAGGCTTAAGTGTTCTACTGTCACATCCGAATAATGTACATGAAAAAGCGTTTTTGGCGTCAACTACACTATGATT